GGAAAAGCAGATGATACACGTGAGTCTAAAACACGCTTGAAACGTGGTAGACCAGTTGGTGCTAAGGATAAAAATCCTAGAAAACGAAAGGAAGTTGAAAAGCATGATATTCCCAAAATAGCAGAAAGCATTTTGGAAGAAACAAGTCATGAGTCTAATGACAATGATGAGCATCATGAGCCTGAAGGAAATCATGAGATTTCTATCAACTATATCCATAATGGAAAGATCTGGGATCGAAATAAAATGGATGAAGTTGATGACGTTTTCTCATACCTTTTGTCAAAGGAAATTGATGAGGAAAACGAGGATCCAGAACCAAAGTCGGTATATGAATGTCAAAAGAGACATGACTGGATAAAATGGAAAGATGCAATACAAGTCGAACTTGATTCGCTCAATAAGCGAAATGTATTCGGACCTATCGTATTCACACCTGAAGATGTGAGACCGGTTGGATACAAGTGGGTTTTCGTTAGAAAACGAAATGAGGAAAATGAGATTACGAGATACAAGGCTCGTCTTGTAGCTCAAGGATTTTCTCAAAGACCCGGGATTGATTATGAGGAAATATATTCCCCCGTTATGGATGCAATAACGTTTAGATTCTTGATGAGTCTAGCGGCTGATGAAAATTTAGAAATGCGTCTCATGGATGTTGTTACAGCATATTTGTATGGATCATTAGATACAAATATCTATATGAGAGTTCCCGACGGGTTTAATATGCCAGAAGCATTGAAATATAAACCCAAAGAGTTATGTGCAATAAAGTTGCGAAGATCATTATATGGGTTAAAGCAATCTGGGCGAATGTGGTATAATCGTCTCAGTGAACATTTAACGAAAGAAGGATACGTGAACGATCCTATATGCCCATGTGTTTTCATCAAGAAAACAAAATCCGGATTTGTGATAATCACGGTATATGTTGATGATCTAAATATAATTGGGACTCAAGATGAAATACAGAAAGCAACAAACTATTTAAAAGGGGAATTTGAGATGAAAGATCTCGGACAAACAAAATTTTGTCTTGGCCTACAAATTGAACATTCCCAAAAGGGTATATTTGTGCACCAATCCACGTATACTAAAAGAGTGCTAAAACGATTCAACATGGATAAGGCAACTCCTCTGAGTACTCCTATGGTCGTTAGATCACTTAACGTTGAGAGTGATCCATTTCGACCGCATGAGGAGAATGAAGAGATACTCGGTCCTGAAGTACCGTATCTAAGTGCAATTAGAACCTTTATGTATCTTGCAAATTGTACTCGACCTGATATATCATTTTCAGTCAATCTTTTGGCTAGATTTAGTTCATCTCCTACACGAAGACATTGGAACGGAATTAAACATGTCTTTCGTTATCTTCAAGGGACTATTGATTTAGGGTTATTTTATCCTAAAAATATAAATGGTCAAATGATTGGTTTTGCAGATGCAGGATATTTATCAGATCCACACAAAGCTCGATCCCAAACAGGATACGTATTCACGATTGGAGGTACTGCTATATCATGGCGTTCTCAGAAGCAGACACTTGTAGCTACTTCTTCAAATCATGCTGAAATCATTGCACTACATGAAGCAAGTAGAGAATGTGTATGGTTGAGATCAATAAGCCAACACATTCAATCAAGCAGTGGGATCAACGTAAACAAAGAGCCAACCATCCTATATGAAGATAATGCTGCATGCGTTGCCCAAACGAAGGAAGGATATATCAAAAGTGATAGAACCAAACATATCCCTCCGAAATTCTTTTCATACACCCAAGAACTTGAGAAGAATAAAGACATTGAAGTCAAATATGTCCGATCATGTGACAATGCTGCAGATCTCTTCATAAAATCACTACCTACCTCGGTGTTCAAGAAGCATGTCTATGCTATTGGAATGCGCCATCAACGCGATCTGTAAAGTTAATCACTCGAGGGGGAGACTACGTCGTTGTACTCTTTTTACCTACTAAGGTTTTTCCCACTGGGTTTACTTAGAAAGGTTTTTAACGAGACAACAGAAGACGTTACACAAGACAATAGTGACACTGGTCTCCAAGGGGGAGTGTTACAAAAGTCATAGATATCAAGCGCATTAGGCGCAGCCGTGAGAAATTTATAATTTTGATGTGGAGCCCACCGTCACTATGCGTGCATAGTAACTTATCTTTTTCTCTATAAATAGAACGTTAAACGTTCATTGTAAAATGACAATTCATTACTTCAATTACAAGAGAAGTAATAATCTCTCTTCCTCTCATCTCTTTATTTTCAGTATCCCGATCCTTCTGCGGGTATAAATTCTTTCTCCATTATTTATATTTATATACACCATAAAATAAAGTAATTATTATAACACGTGCAATAAAATTCAAATTCAAACAAAAGAATAATTATGACCAAGAGTAATCAACTTTTGAATCAACTTTGTTGACTTATTATCACCAAAACTCCCAACAATGCAACATCATAATCCGATTGAAGAAGTCACACCAAAAGTGATAGAGCAAGAAGGTTAATAACATACCAGGATGGTTTGAGATATATCATATTTTGAAAAACAAAAACAAACTTGTTTGGACTGTGATGTGATACGATCAAATTATTTTGTATCATCTCTGTTTATGGAACAGATATGTTTTGTTTGAACACCGAATCAGCTTTAAGTATGTTCTTGCACATTAGTAAGTGACTGATCCATCAATATCATAAAGCTTCTTAAATATTTCACACACTTACAAAGTAATTTACAAGAGATGAAATCTGCATTACATTTCCAAGATTCGACAAACCAGATACACACAACTTGATCACATATTAAACTCACTTTCCGGGGACGAAGTTTGTGGCGAAGGCCCATGCGTTGTTGTTGACTGGATCGGCCAAGTGGTCAGAAAGATTCTCCAACGGTCCCTTTCCGGTGACAATGGCCTGAACGAAGAATCCAAACATAGAGAACATAGCCAACCTTCCGTTCTTTAGCTCCTTCACCTTCAACTCTGCAAACGCCTCGGGGTCAGTAGCAAGGCCCAATGGGTCGAAGCTGCCACCTGGGTAAAGCAAGTCCTCTGCCTCTCCCAATGGGCCATTTCCGGCGACTCTGTAGCCTTCAACAGCTCCCATGAGGATCACTTGAGTGGCCCAAATGGCTAAGATACTCTGAGCATGGACCAAGCTTGGATTGCCCAAGTAGTCCAATCCTCCATCGCTGAAGATCTGTGAACCAGCCTTGAACCAAACCGCTTCTCCGAACTTCACTCCATTGCGAGCCAACAGCTCAGGGAAAACGCAGCCTAGGGCTCCGAGCATGGCCCATCTGCTGTGGATAACTTCTAGCTCACGGTTCCTGGCGAAGGTCTCGGGGTCTGCGGATAGACCGGCAGTGTCCCACCCGTAGTCACCGGGGAACTCCCCAGTGAGGTAGCTCGGAGGCTCACCGGAGAATGGACCCAAGTACTTGACTCGGTCGGATCCGTACCATGGGCTGCCTGATGGACCGGTGGGTTTGGAGGCTTTGCGCATGGTAACTCGGCCGGTTCCAAATACTTCGGAGGCCGCCGGGGATAGCTTAACGGCCTTTCCGGCCAAAGCAGGAGAGTAGAGAGCCATTGTCGTGGCGGCCATTGCGGTGAGAGTGTGGTGCAAGTAAAAGGTTTTTAGTTAAGTTTGTTATGATGAATTGGATGGTTAGGTTACGGTGAGGTTTTTGGGTATTTATAATGTGAAAAATAACGGTAAACTTGAGGATTTAATTTGCTTTATCTCAAGGATATCATCAATGTCTTGATTTCTATTGGTTGTTGACATTTTTGAGCTTAGATTTTTTTGTCTTGCCGAGCTGGCATGAGATTTGGAGTTGGGAATTGAATTGTGTTAGATAAATTAGATATCTCATATAGCGTTTTAGCATATTGGAATACCCATTGAAGACGTGCCACGTGTAAATCTGACGTGTTTCTATCCGTTTGAGTCGTATGATGGTCATGGTACACGTCATTTTATTATCGACATTGGTGTTTCCCAAATGGACATGTCATCAAACACTCAAAACAACATGATCGTACCAAAGTCCAAAAACTTAGACTGATCCATACCACCCACTCTTTCACCAAAATGTTGATGACATGTTGTAGGTTTGTTAATTATCTATATAAAAAAAAATTACTCTAGATTTGTTAATAGAAAATACAGAAGATTTAATCTTGCATAACAAAGTATAAGGAAATATAATGACATACACTTCACATTTCATCTACAAACACATGCTTTCGAATTCGTATTTTAAAGTTGGCAAGAAAATCTTACCAGTCATTTTTGTTGCCGAAAACAGTCAACATAATCAATCAAGATTCAAGAGTATTATTTAATATAATTGTCGACGGTTTATTTATGCTATTAACTTAAAAACTTCGTATCACTTTTTGTTTTGTTTCATCTACAAAATACCTCGATAAACCAATACATTTCTTCGGTCCCAAATTTGATTTTGGAAGTAATTAGTATATCGATAAATTATTAACTCGATAAATTAATAAAATATTATAGTCCCAACTGTATTAATTTATAGAAGTTTTATTGTAATTGTTTTACATAACAATATAAGGTTTTGTAGTTTCACTTTAAAAACTTTGTCGTTTGGCATCCGAAACAAACTTATTAGAAAAAAAAGGAAAAAGATTATGAAATGGGTTGGACTTAAAGAAAAAAAGAGAAAGAAATAGATTACACAAGATTTCCTTCTTATAATGGGATTCAAATATTTATTTTTGGATATTTACCCAAAGTTCCCTGTGTACAAACAAATGACAAGTGTCTTCATTTCAGCTAAAAGAATCTAGCAAGAGCTTATGGACTAGAGAGTGACACATAGGACAAGATAACGACAATCCCAAAATCTCATAAGCCAATCAGTAAACAGATACAGATACTTCACAGATAACAAACCTTACTCTTAAGATTGCTATAAAGTGGACCTATACCTCAACCATATTCAATCACTCTCACCAGTCACAACAAAAAACAAAACAGAAAAACAAAAAAAGAAGAAGAAAGATTCTAATGGCTTCCTCAACCATGGCTTTGTCCTCCCCTGCCTTCGCCGGAAAGGCTGTGAAGCCGGCGGCATCAGATGTCCTCGGAAGCGGCCGTGTGACAATGAGGAAGACTGTTGCCAAGCCAAAGGGTCCATCAGGCAGCCCATGGTACGGATCTGACCGTGTCAAGTACTTGGGTCCATTCTCCGGCGAGCCCCCGAGCTACCTTACCGGAGAGTTCCCCGGTGACTACGGATGGGACACCGCCGGTCTATCCGCCGACCCAGAGACCTTCGCCAGGAACCGTGAGCTAGAAGTTATCCACAGCAGATGGGCCATGCTCGGAGCCCTAGGCTGCGTTTTCCCTGAGCTATTGGCTAGGAACGGAGTGAAGTTCGGAGAAGCGGTTTGGTTCAAGGCCGGTTCACAGATCTTCAGCGACGGAGGATTGGACTACTTGGGCAACCCGAGCTTGGTCCACGCTCAGAGCATCTTAGCCATTTGGGCTACTCAAGTGATCCTCATGGGAGCTGTTGAAGGCTACAGAGTCGCCGGAAATGGCCCATTGGGAGAGGCAGAGGACTTGCTTTACCCAGGTGGCAGCTTCGACCCATTGGGCCTCGCTACTGACCCCGAGGCTTTCGCGGAGTTGAAGGTGAAGGAGCTCAAGAACGGGAGGTTGGCTATGTTCTCTATGTTTGGATTCTTCGTTCAAGCCATCGTCACCGGAAAGGGACCTTTGGAGAACCTAGCCGACCATTTGGCCGACCCAGTCAACAACAACGCATGGGCCTTCGCCACCAACTTCGTCCCCGGAAAGTAAGCGAGATAATTATGTGAATGAGAGCAGAGAAAGAGAGTTTGTTTGTGGTCTTTCCTATGTAAATTTGTGAAATTTCCTTTGTGGTATCTTTGTATGATTTATCAGAAATCGAACCTCTTTTTCTCTAACTGTGTTGGCGTTTTATCTTTAGACTTGTTGAATTTTGAATTATCCATTCTTGTAAAATTCATGCAATTGCAGATGATGTATTTGGACAATCTACCAAATACGGACAAACAAAAGGCAAATGAAACTATATATTAGAAACTTATAGCAAAATTACAACAGAGATGAGAAAGAAAACGAACAAGACAAATGGTCCTAAGATGATGCCGTCGAAATGCCACAAGATGCTTCACTCTAAGCCACTTTCTGAAGCTTCTCTCTGGTTCTAATTATCCAAAAGAATGCTTCACTTGGCAAGCTTCAAAAAATACTGATCTTTGAAAACAAATTTTTATTGTCGATATGAGATGTGTGTTGTAACTATTTTACCAAGTTTCACATAGAAACCTCTGTGCAGCTTTAGATTCATGTTTTCAACATGTTTATAGTCCCTCCTGTCAAAATAAAATGGTTATAGCGTGTTAATCGAGAATTTGATCTCTTCCTAAGCGAGTACATTCCAAGATCAACAACGGCTACAATGGACCAGGCAGAGTAAAAGGCCTTACATGGTTAGTGTGGGATCTGGAGAAGAATGAGAGCAGTTAAATATAAACAGAACGAGATGGCAGCTCCAGCGAGGACATTGTGGAGCAGCCTCTTGTCGTCTTTTGTTGGTATGAATACAGACTTTAACGTATTTGTAAGCTCGAAAAGTCGGTGAGACACCTGAAGAAAATAAATCAAGAGATCAAATTACAATAATATAACGTAGAGTGGATACATGGTTTCTTCACGGATTCTACGATTGCTTTACCAAGACATAGATGGCGGTGACGAGCATGAAGTTGAGCATTGGGTATTCTGGAATAATGCATAATAGCCACTTCGGCTGTCCATTTGGCACATTCGATCTGCAGAACACGCAATTTGCAGTTAAAATTTCATTCCTAGATCCTTCATACAAATGGTCTCTTGCCTACATAATTGGGAGAAAGGAAACAGTTTCTCGCCGACCTTAACCAGATGTGAAACTGAGAAATATAGGTTTCCAGAGTAATCTTGCCGAGCCACCTAGAAAGATATGCAAGTCGTGTCATATTAGAGATGTGTTCAGAATAAAACACTAAGCTTGGTTGAAATGAGACAAAGATTGAGAAACATACGCAAAGAGTGTCAGGGAGAAATTTCGCAGCTGTTGTGTGGAATTTCGCAGACAGATGTAGACGCTAAGACAACAGAATCAAAGCTCAAGTCAGAATCTAGAAAGGAAGACATCTCAAGGTTTGACGTTTGGGGTGAAAGAAAAAGGGTTTTGATACTGACGTTATTGGAATCCACGATGTGTAGGGGTGATATTTGTTGTATGTAACCTTGTCAAGCTTGTATATGTATTCATACCATAGGTAACCAACCTGAACAATATATGGAACAACTTGGGTATCAGTATAATATCAAATACATAAGATCCATAAGCCAAAGAGAAGCCAAACTCACAAATGAGGAAATTGCAATTATGCTTGTCTTTATTGACATCTTTCTCTTGGCATCAAACTCCTCCAATTTCTCCATCCATCTCTCTACCTGAAATGAAAATGTCGGAAAATATTTTAATGGTAGGGTTCATGAGAAGATATGAAAAAACGAGAGGGCCGTAGGTTCATGAGTTACAGTGGGATGGAAATAGGCATATATCATTCCAATGATCCATATGTAGCGGTCAAGTCCTGATCTGAAGTGCCATTCATGTAAAAGTGGTAGATCTGGTTTAGCCGGATCAGTGTATCCTGTAGTTGTGTAAGGAAGAAAAAAACTAAATGTTAGTCAACATACAAAAACACTAATCCCAGTGACCAAGTGGCATCCAAACATTGACAGGAAAATTGTTTTAGCACGAGATGGATAAGTAGTCGACCATGCCGGAATCAGTGTAACATATGAGAAAAGTCTGATACTGACCCAGTAAGAATGTCAGAGGACTCCAGAAAATCTCAAAAACTCCAGGAATCTCCCACATCACGATAACCACGAGAAAGCATGAAGCAATCTTCAAAACCATTACTGATGGTATTTCGTTGTACCGACTGAAGATACCAAGGGCTCCATACACCATGAGAGTGAATAGAGTGTGCATTGGACAGATGTAGTATAACATATAATCATTATTGAGAATAATGCAGCTAAACGCCACAAATAAGTTAAGACGCCACATCATCTGGAAGAAGTAAAAGTTTTCATGAGCATCTTGAGTCATCGAAAAACATATGTCTCTTAGAAGTATATATCATGGTAAACTAAATTAACTGTGCAATTGAAATGACCTGAGTAAATCGTGCTAGGGAGAAATCCTTTCTGATATAGTAATACGAGAAGTTCCCAAACCCAGTCATCCAGACGTATGCAGCAATGAAAACCCTGATTGCATTATATATCTCAGCCGCAGCAAAGTAATGATACATCAGAAATAGAACCTGCAAAGACACAACAACGGTAAATTAGCATGGAAAACAGTTGCAACACACACAAAACATCTAAAGGTGGTATAAAGAAACTCAGATATATTCTGCGAAGCAGGAGCAAAAACATGTGAAAATGTAAAGGTCACGTACTGAGAAAAGATTGAATCTGTTACCTGCATCCATCCCTTCCACTCTTCAGTCTGGTGACGATTAAGATAGAGAATGGATTTTCCTGTAATAGGTGATTTGTCATTGTGTTTCTTCAAGGATGTCATGTATGCCACTATGATGAGAAGACAGTAGAGAAAGAGGAAAAGATCTCTGTTGTAATTCTGCAAATGGAAAGTATACGAAAAATAGCGTCACAAATTGCAAAACCCTTTTAAGACTCAGATGTTAGCTTTCTACCTCTAAACTATTAACGACATACTATGAGCCATTATACCATATATAACACATAAATTGTTTTAAAATTTTGATGACCAGTTGAAACTGATAAAGAGAATTCATCAAATAAATTTAAAAGAGACACCTTTTTAGACTCTCCAAGCAAGCTTGTTCGATCGCTAATATAAAAGTAAAAAAGAATCGCCCCAAACTCAGCCCTGAAAGGAAATAATACGGTCATGAGAGAGAATGAAAAACAGCATGAATCCATTCTGATAAAATTAAGGAACTTACATCGCTCTCAAGGTTGCTCGATTTTCAATCAAGAAAGAGTCTTCGAGCGTCAGAAACCTACAAGTCGACAAATGTAAATGGTTTATTTTTGTTGAAAGAACACTTCACTCTAAGAAACCAAAAAAGAAGAAGAAATCCCTAAAACTAGTACCTAATCAAGTTTGTTTTGATAGGTGAGTTATAAAACTTTGTAGATACAGATCTTGCAAGACCTCCTTCAAGTAAAACTGCTACTTCATCTTCCTTGTTTTTTACCTCACCCAATTCCACCAAATTATTATCTGAATGACTGCAAGTAAGAGGGAGGTAAAGGTTACTAACAAGTTAGATACATAACAAGCGAGCCATTTAAATTAGATTCCCAATACATACACTTTAGAGTGCAATGAAGACCTCTTATACTCTAGGAACTCTGAGTATATCCATGCTATGAAGACAGGGATGACTCCGAGTAGAAACGAAACCTGCATTAAAGAAAACCAAATCTCTGGTGAGAAATATTTTCAAATTCAAAGTTGAAAGCTACTACATTTGAAGACTAGTAAACTAATCCAAATTGTTAATTCAATTACCCACAACCTTAACATTCAACAGATATTCATTCCAAATCTATGAATCCGTGAAAGATGTTAGCAAAAAACAATGAAATTTAAGAAGCTGAAACACCAAAGTTAGGAGATACCGTACCTGACCAGGCGTGATTGGCTCAGAATCCGCCATTATATTGGATCCACAAAGGGATCTTCAATCAAAAAACTGGAAACCAAATAGATGGGAAGAGACAGGGAGAGTGATTTCAACTCCACCGTCGGATCCAAGGTATACCTCTAGATTTAAAAACTGAGGCACAGGATCCGAAACCCTAGGAATAGAGAAGCACGGAAGGTGCGAACAAAGAAGAAGAAGAAGAAGAGATCTCAAGTGAAGAAGGTGTTGCTTCAAGGATGGAGAAAATGGCGGGTGCGACGTCGTTCTCGTCAAGCTCACCCAAACGGTTGTTGGTTTGGCGATGTTCTCTTTTTCTGGTCCGTTCGGTTTTTTTTCCTTTCTCTACTAATTTTAAGAATGGAGAATGGAGAATTTTACTAACACTATAAACCACCAAAATTATTTTACTAACATTTTAAACCTCCAAACTAGTTTTTCGGTTTGCAAAACCATAAAAGATGATGGAACAATCAATTTATGTTTGTTTCTTATATATTTATTTTATTTAATTTAAATTTTAATTAATTTTATTATTTATTACGATTTTGAAAATAAATAAAAAAAAGTAAAAAAAAATCATCATCTTCGACTATTCACCGTCCGACAACAATTTTTCAGATTTTTATTCAGTTTATTGTATGTGTTCACAATCTTTTCATTCAATTGGTATTTTGAGATTCTAATTTATCCACTAGAGAGAGTGAAAACGCTTACGGATCAGTCTAAAAGATTGTTTCAACAGTTTATCAAGAAATTTCATGGTCGGACAGTGAGTAAACGAAGAAAATAAAGTTTTTTTTTTGTTTTTATAGATTTTTATTAATTGTAATAAATAATAAAATTAATTAAAATTTAAATTAAATTAAATATATATATATATATATATATAAATATATATATATATATAAATATATATATATATATATATATATATATATATATATTAAACAAACATAAATTGATTGTTCCATCATATTTTATGGTTTTGCAAACAGAAAAGTTAGTTTGAAGGTTTAAAGTGTTAGTAAAACAATCTTGGTGGTTTATAGTGTTAGTAGAATTCTTTCGAGGTTTAAAGTGCTACCCAGTTACACTTTCAGGATTAAAAATGTGATTTTCCCCTAAAAATAATACCAACAAAAATTGATTACTGATATTAACTAGAGAGGTACGTAACTAATTATAGATCTAAAGTATTTGCAATTAATGACAATAAAA